TTCAATATAATGAATATTAAATATTTTTTGGAAAATATTCAATAATATCAAAAAAGTACAGTCGTAAAAATTCAAAATACATGCAAATTAAGCAAATAATATATCAATAATCTAATATGATAAAATAATTTTTGAAAATTCTTTAAATTTGTGTGAAATTTTTAACAGAATCTGCATGGCATAAAATATATACAATATAAATTATGACAAATATTAAAATATTTGACTATTTATTTCAAAAACAAGATTAAAAATTTATTAGATTAAAAAATTAAAATCATTCATTGCAAAAAAATTACAAATGATCCAAAAAAATATTATGATTTTTCATCAATTGATTGAATTATATATTGCTGAAAACGAAGTGATTTTCAAAAAACGAAGATACATCAAGGATAATTTATAATACAATACTTAAGGCAACGGATGTAGTATTTGAATGCAATATGAAAACACAATATTAAAATGTTTGGCTATAGTATGACTAGTAAAAACACATTTTTTATAAAAAAAATTAATATACATTTATTCAAATTTTAAAATGTATATATTTCAAATTTTTTTGTCAGAATAATTGCTTGGTGAAAGTCAAAAATTGATAGTTCATTTTAAAAAATTTAGAAAAATAGCTTTTTATATATCTTTACGTTATTCTTCAACTCCAGCGCCTAATTTGGTCCGCGAGGGCTATTTTATTTCGCCCCAATCCGCCGATCTTACGACCGGTTAGGACACCCCCTATCCGCCACCTGGGGACGCGCCCGGTGGGAGTTTGGCTTCTCCCGACGAGAAAAAAATGGTCATTATTATTAAAAACATTAGTATAAGTAGTAAAAATTAATTTGAATATCAAAAAAAAAAAACGCTAGACAAAGCTAAGCAAGTACAATTATCTGCAACAAATGCTATAAAAAGATTCATACTTCAATAATTATTAATAATGGATTCAAAGTCATATATGTACAATTGTAAAAATATTTTTCAAAAAATAAATGAAGCACCAAAAATGTAATAGAAATAAGTGAAAATGTTGAAAACTTGAAGGTACTTTCTAAAATATACTTTTAATAATCATTCTATAATTCAACAATATTCATTTGTTAATTAGTTATTTAACTGCTTAAACGCAGCCAAAATGTTTAATTTACAAGTAGAGAAATTAATAACGACAAATTTTAAATCAATAACAACTGTAAGTAAAAAAATAGATTGCATTTATTTAGTTACTAAATCGTTTAAAATATATAATAATATTATTGAATCTACAAGTTAATAGAATGGAACTTATACAAAATACATAAAAAGGCATTATAATATATGTCGTAAACAAAACACTTGATCGATTTAATATGCATTAAGGAATGATAAAAAATTTAATATATGCAACTGATTAAAAAGTTTAGCAGAAATAGTTTGTACAGTTGCAAAAATAAATTATATAAGTTCAGTTAGCAAAATTATGTTCAAAAAAGACTTACAAACATACTCGCACATAATAATTGTACAGATGCAGTTTGTACAATTAAAAATATTACAAGATTTCTAAAATATATATTATAAGTTAAAGTTTTTGTCACATGAAAATAACATATATAAAAATATAGAAAAAATGAAATAATTTTTTCACAAAAGTATATTTAAGTATTTATAAAAATTAATTCAAATATGTAAAAACGCTAGACAAAGCTAAGCCAACAAACAGAAATATATATTAAGCTATGTATGCAACATAAGCTATAACAGAAATAGATTTATTCAAATTTTAATAAATGCAACAGCAAAATTAGTTTGAAACAAAGTTAGTATCAAATGTTAAAATAACATTTTTAAACAGTTAAAAAATTAAATAGATTATTGTAAAAGTATTTTTAAAAATAAATGGAGCATCAAATTTGAATATGTGAAAAATATTGAAAACTTGAAGTTACTTTCTAAAATATACTTTTAACAATCATTCACAAGTTTCATCCATAAGTCAATAACAAATATAAGTAAAAAAAATATATGTATTTAGTTTCACATAATGGCTTCAAATATAATTATAATATTATTGAATGAAAAATTTTTTATTCATAAAAGTGAATCATAATACAAATGAATATTGAAAATAGTAATAAATTAATCATAAAAATTAATATTTGAAAAAATTATTTTGTTCATATTAATGATATAAAATAATTCCCATCTATATAGAATTAATAAGATTCAATGAAAATATATAGGGGCCGTTCAAGTATATAGCGTAAGGACTGGGGGGGGGGGGGGTTAGGGTTTCTTATTTGGGTGACATTTTGGTGACAGCTTTGCTTACTTTGCTGACAAAGGGGGATGGGGGGGGGTTTAAATAATTGTACTAAAATTTGCTACATAATACTAGAACGATCAACCTAATGCCTAATTTGGTCCGCGAGGGCTATTTTATTTCGCCCCAATCCGCCAATCTTACGACCGGTTAGGACACCCCCTATCCGCCACCTGGGGACGCGCCCGGTGGGAGTTTGGCTTCTCCCGACGGGAAAAAAATGGTCATTAATATTAAAACATTAGTATAAGTAGTAAAAATTAATTTGAATATCAAAAAAAAAAGCTAGACAAAGATCATAAGCAAGTCCAATTATCTGCAACATATGCTATAAAAAGATTCTCACTTAATAATTATTAATAATGGATTCAAAGTCATATATGTACAATTGCAAAAATACTTTTCAAAAATAAATGAAGCACCAAAATGTAATAAAAATAAGTGAAAATGTTAAAAACTTGAAGGTACTTTCTAAAATATACTTTTAATAATCATTCTATAATTCAACAATATTCATTTGTTAATTAGTTATTAAACTGCTTAAACGCAGCCAAATAAAGTAACAAAATGTTAATTTACAAGTAGAGAAATTAATAACGACAAATTTTAAATCAATAACAACTGTAAGTAAAAAATAGATTGCATTTATTTAGTTTACTAAATCGTTCAAAATATAATAATAATATTATTGAATCTACAAGTTAATAGAATGGAACTATATACAATACATAAAAAGGCATTATAATATATGTCGTAAACAAAAACACTTGATCGATTTAATATGCATTAAGGAATGATAAAAAATTTAATATATGCAACTGATTAAAAAGTTTAGCAGAAATAGTTTGTACAGTTGCAAAAATAAATTATATAAGTTCAGTTAGCAAAATTATGTTCAAAAAAGACTTACAAACATACTCGCACATAATAATTGTACAGATGCAGTTTTGTACAATTAAAAATATTACAAGATTTCTAAAATATATATTATAAGTTAAAGTTTTTGTCACATGAAAATAACATATATAAAAATATAGAAAAAATGAAATAATTTTTTCACAAAAGTATATTTAAGTATTTATAAAAATTAATTCAAATATTGTAAAAACGCTAGACAAAGCTAAGCCAACAAACAGAAATATATATTAAGCTATGTATGCAACATAAGCTATAACAGAAATAGATTTATTCAATATTTTAATAAATGCAACAGCAAAATTAGTTTGAAACAAAGTTAGTATCAAATGTTAAAATAACATTTTTAAACAGTAAAAAAATTAAATAGATTATTGTAAAAGTACTTTTTTAAAAATAAATGGAGCATCAAATTTGAATATGTGAAAAATATTGAAAACTTGAAGTTACTTTCTAAAATATACTTTTAACAATCATTTCACAAGTTTCATCCATAAGTCAATAACAATATAAGTAAAAAAAATATATTGTATTTAGTTTCACATAATGGCTTCAAATATAATTATAATATTATTGAATGAAAATTTTTTATTCATAAAAGTGAATCATAATACAAATGAATATTGAAAATAGTAATAAATTAATCATAAAAATTAATATTTGAAAAAATTATTTTGTTCATATTAATGATATAAAATAATTCCCATCTATATAGAATTAATAAGATTCAATGAAAATATATAGGGGCCGTTCAAGTATTACGTAAGCACTATAGGGGGCGGGGGGGTTATTGATTTCTTATTTTGGGTGACATTTTGGTGACAGCTTTGCTTACTTTTGCTGACAAAGGGGGATGGGGGGGGGTTAAATAATTGTACTAAATTTGCTTACATAATACTAGAACGATCACCTAATGCCTAATTTGGTCCGCGAGGGCTATTTTATTTCGCCCAATCCGCCAATCTTACGACCGGTTAGGACACCCCCTATCCGCCACCTGGGGACGCGCCCGGTGGGAGTTTGGCTTCTCCCGATGGGTGTATGTGGGTATGTGTGTGCGTATATGTATGAATGTATGCGCGGGTACAATTTTTTGTCGATGATTTAGAGAACATGGATCAACTAATTTGAATGATTCAAAATACATTCGATTTCTATTGGTGAGGAGACGTGATGGTTAATTTTTGGCAAAGGCAGGTTTAGCCGTTCCGAAGATACGGGACAAAAAGTGCCAAAAATATTTTGTTTATGTTCAGATTTTCTCTATATGCAAGTAGTTAAAAATATATAGCACAGTTTAAGAATAATATTAAAATTCATACTTTAATCTGGGGTTAGATTGAAATTAAAAGTAGATCAGGATTAACAAATTATTCGAAAAAGGTTAGTAGTTTCGGATTTGAAAGAGTTAAACAAAATCGCTACAAAACAGAAAATGATTTGAGAAGTGAATTTGTATTTTATAATTTAACTATTTTTTATTACCAATTCATGAAATTGGTATTAAACATACATTTATATGCACAAAATAGGTTTTATATTGATTTTTGTTTCTTTTCTTTCCGAACAGAACCGTAATAAATATAAGAGCCGGTTTTTTAATTTTAGCGTTCCGGTAAAAAATATTAGCACAACACCACTGAAGATATAGTATTCTATTAATAATTGAACAAATTTTTAGTGAACAAATCGACATTTTATGATTTTTCAATGAGTATATAAAAATATTTTTCATTCAGTAGATAATAATTTGTACCTTTATCACAGAGTATAAACTTGCATCATGTATCTTACAGGTCCTCCACGATTGCCAATATGGGGAAGCTATTGGCTAATTTTATTAGCAAATTACAAATTCCTGCACATAGCGTTTATGAAAATAGCAAAATTGTACAAATCGAAGATAATTGGATTTTATGCCGGAGCCTTTCCGGGAGTGATAGTTCAAGATTATGAGACCGTCAAAGAAGTATTGAACAGGAGGGAATTCGACGCCCGGATGGACATAATTATAGCCAGGATGAGAGACCCCAGCCACAATACAAGAGGTACAAAAGCTATAACCAAAAACGTATTTGGACTTCAACGAGATTCTATTTGATGTACTTCGATAGAGTAAAATTATAAGCTTTGGTATTTATAAAAAAACATATTGAAGTATTTTTTAAAAACATATTGAATGCTTACATATGTTTAAATTTATGTAAAAGAATTAAGTAGTTGATCATTCAATTTAATTTTAATATTGTTATTAAATAATTCATCTATCTCAGTTCCAAAATAAAACAATTAATAATATACATACGGCGTTGAATGGAAGAATTCATAATGTAAACTAAGGAAAATAGTAGAAAAAATGTACAGCATGTAATATATAGGTAGAAATAAAATTTCAGGCATATTTTTCACTGATGGTCAATTTTGGCACGAGCAGCGACGTTTTGCTTTGCGTTACATGAGAGATTTCGGATTTGGGAGAAGGTGTCCAACATTAGAAGCCATGATTAACGAGGAACTGAACGATCTGATTAATTTATTAAAGAATGGACCCATAGAAAAAGATGAGGATGTAAAAAATCAATTGCAGGAGGAAAAATGTTACATGATAATATAATTTTTATTAACTTTCTTTGCAGACAGTTTGCAAAAATGGATTAGTTTTAATGCCGGATATATTCTTTGTGGCGTTCATGAATTCTTTCATGGCAGTATTTTCGCGTGAAAGATGGCCCAGAAGCAAACATCATGAATTGATTCGAGTAGCCAGAGGCGCAATGATCTTCCAAAGAGCAGGAGATGACATGGGCCGTGCGCTCTCTCAGACTCCTTGGTTAAGACATTTATTACCAAATTTTTCAGGATATAATGAATTAAAAGATGGTCATGAATTTATATATGATTTCATGAAGGTAAGAAATTTTATATCATCGCCAAAGATAAGGTGAAAGTTTTGAAAATATAGGATGTCGTTCAGAATGAATACATTATGTATAAGCCATAAGTACTGCTTAGTTTACAAAGTACATATTGTATAGTTATAAACAAATATATTGTCACATGTGTTGCAAATAGAACAAAAAATATGCAATATCAATTTGAAATTCCTATAACAGGGTAAAATGGCGCAAAATTACTAATAGAATAAGTTTAATTATTAGCTGCTGACTATTAACTAGTTTATAATTAAATCGTTAAAAACTAGTTATTTATATACTGATAGTAATCTTGTTATTTTAAGCAATGTGTGCAGAACGTGGTGGACACACATCAGGACGGCGATGAAAGAAACTTCGTTGATATATATTTGAATGAAATGCATAAAAGGCAGCAGGATCCAACGATTGCAGAAAAAGACGGCATCTCATTTTCAAGTAAATTAAATATTGTAAAACAAATACAAAAATATATTCAATAATTGAGAATATATAAATATCAATTTTCAGTTGATCAGCTTATATTAGTAGGAGTCGATTTTCTATTTCCTACAACCACAGCTATTGGTGCTCAATTATCATATTTATTTTTCCATCTGATGTACAGACCAGATGTCCAAGAAAAAATCAGGAGGAAATTGAGAGGGTCGTCGGAAGGGGCAGGCTGCCAAATTTGGATGACAGGCCACAGTAATTACATTTCCACATATTAAAAAAATATTTAAAAATTTAGATACGGAATGAGGCTTATAGGTAGGCTTATATTAGCACAAATAATTGTGGTAAAAAGAAATTGAACGATTTAACGAGTTTCCGTTTTAAGTCCATTAGTTTGTAATATTTTCCCTTCTCGGACACTTTTCTAGAATCTTATTATTTTCAAATACTGATATTAGATATTCTTCCTAACGAATTGTAAGTTTTGTTAGCTCATACGAAATATTGATTGTTATGATTAAATATCTCCAGCCGTCGTGATAAAAATAAATGCTTATGATAACTTTTACATATTCAATATTTTTGCCCTGTTTTAAGGTGAATATGGTGATTAGTCTTATGTTTTCGGTATATATAGTGTTCTCGCTCAGATAAATTATTTATTATCAACACAATTAATCTTGAATCTCTTTATTCCACCTCATTTTAATTTTTTTTTCATTTTTGTCCAATGTATTTTATTTTCTTGTTTTCTGTGTTTATGTTGTGTTCTCGCACTGATGAAATATCAAATGATGTTTATAATTTTAAAATAGAGTAGTGACTTTCAGTAATACAACATGTTATTTCTTTTATGAGTGAAGCGAAAAAGAGGCGCATTCCGCCAGTATAAACCATTATATACTAGGGCCTGGAGATAGCGATATTATTTAATATAAAAAACATTAAGTTAAGCTGATTTTTTAAAAAATATCTTAAATCAAGTTGGCGTGTACTTGTTATTGTTAAATTTAAATTAAATTTATCATTTTACCATTAACCATTAAGTGCATGAGAATATTAAACAAATTCATGTTGAATGTGAAAGAGTTTTAAAAACTAGTTGATCTTGGTATTTTGCCTTAAGACAAGTTAGATGAACTTCCCGATGTGTAAATAATCGACTTAATCAATAAAAAAAAATAAATCATTATGAATGATTAAAAGTACTCCCGAGTGTTTCGTTTAACTCGGAGTATTTTCTAAAAACAAATTTTCAAAAATCAAAAATTTTTATAATTGAACAAGTTTCATAGAACTTTAATGATTTAATATGTTCATTAAGACCAAGTACTCTATCGTTTATACCAAGTAAATCGTCTAATTTAATTTAAAAAATGCTAAAAAAACTACTCATTTTTTCAAACTTGAT